CCCACACCAGTTCTCTTGCCTGGAAAATCCCATGGGTGGAGGAGCCTGGTAGGCTGCAGTCCTTGGGGTTGCTAAGAGTCGGACACGACTGAGCGACTTCACTTTGACTTTTCACTTGCATTCATTGGAGAAGGAAATGGCAACCCACTCCAGTGTTCTTGCCTGGAGAATCCCAGGGACAGGGGAGCCTGGTGGGCTGCCGTCTACGGGGTTGCACAGAGTCGGACACAACTGAAGCGACTTAGCAGCAGCAGCAGCAGTTGGCCCTTTGCTCCTCTGGGATCTTTTCCACACAGGGACTGAACCCGTGTCTCCTGCACTGGCAGGCGGATTCTTTACAGCTGAGCCACGTGGGAAGCCCTGGACCAGTATACACCTGCTCTGATCACCCTGGGGCCAGGGACCAGACCACGCAGGCACTTCCACACCCCGCAGCTGACAAGCTAATAGAACGTCTGGTCCACCTGCCTCGCCAGTCCTCCCCTGGAGAAGCCACACTCCTGCACACATTTCCCCCTTGTCATCACAACCACGTTTAAGCACGCAGTTCATTGGCATTCAGTTCAGTTCAGTTCAGTCGCTCAATCATGTCCAACTCTTTGTGACCCCATGGAGCACAGCACGCCAGGCCTCCGTGTCCATCACCAACTTCCGGAGTGTACTCAAACTCATGTCCATTGAGTCAGTGATGTCATCCAACCACCTCATCCTCTGTCGTCCCCTTCCTCTCCCATCTTCAGGCTTTCCGAGCATCAGAGTCTTTTTAGAGTCAGTTCTTCGTATCAGGTGGCCAAAGGATTGGACCTTCAGCTTCAGCATCCGTCCTTACAATAAATATTCGGGACTGATTTCCTTTAGGATGGACTGGTTGGATCTCCTTGCAGTCCAAGGGACTCTCAAGAGTGTTCTCCAACACCACAGTTCAAAAGCATCAATTCTTCCGCGCTCAGCTTTCTTTATAGTCCAACTCTCACATCCGTACATGACTACTGGAAAATACATAGCATTGACTAGACAGATCTTTGTTGGCAAAGCAATGTCTCTGCTTTCTAAAATGCTATCTAGATTGGTCATAACTTTCCTTCCAAGAAGTACGCGTCTTTTAATTTCATGGCTGCAATCACAATCTGCAGTCATTTTTGAGCCCCCCAAAATAAAGTCTGTCACTGTTTCCACTGTTTCCCCATCTATTTGCCATGAAGTGATGGGACCAGATGCCATGATCTTGGTTTTCTGAATGTTGAGCTTTCAGCCAACTTTTTCACTCTCCTCTTTTACTTTCATCAAGAGGTTCTTTAGTTCTTCTTTGCTTTCTGCCATAAGGGTGGTGTCATCTGCTTTTCTGAGGTTATTGATATTTCTCCCAGCAATCTTAATTCCAGCTTGTGCTTCATCCAGCCTAGCATTTCTCATGATGTACTCTGCATATAAGTTCAATAAGCAGGGTGAGAATATACAGCCTGGACGTACTCCTTTCCCTATGTGGAACCAGTCTGTTGTTCCATGTCCAGTTCTAACTGTTGCTTCCAGGCCTGCATACAGATTTCTAAGAGGCAGGTCAGGTGGTCTGGCATTCCCATCTCTTGAAGAATTTTCCACAGATTGTTGTGGTCTACATGGTCAACGTCTTTGGCATAGTCAATAAAGCAGAAGTAGATGTTTTCCTGGAACTCTCTTGCTTTTTCGATGATCCAGTGGATGTTGACAATTTGATCTCTGGTTCTTCTGCCTTTTCTACATCCAGCTTGAACCTCTGGAAGTTCCCAGTTCACATACTCTTGAAGCCTGGCGTGGAGAATTTTGAGCATTACTTTACTCGCGTAGCATTAAGTGCATTCAAACTTTGGGCAGCCATCACCATCATTGCAGTACTTCATCTTCTTAAACTGAAACCCTGCCCCCACTATCATCAGTTCCCTACTCACTCCCCCTACCCCAGCCCCTGACACCCGTGCTCTGCATCCTATCTCTATGAGGGTGACGCTCCAGGCATCTCATATAAACTGGAATCACACCGTGTTTGTCCTTTGCAGATCGCCTGATTTCATTTTGCATAATGTCCTGAAGGTTCGGTCATGCTTTAGAAAAGCAAAACTGATTTGACCTCCGTAACTTGCTCTGCCCCTGCAATGAGACACAGGGCACAGATCCTCTGGTGAATGAAGGTGCCCCCTGACTGGCATTGTTGTACTCAGGCACAAGATGGAGAGGCTGGGGAGGCAGCACCTTCCTGGGGGTGGCACTGGGAGGCTGTGCCCTGTCCAGTGCCTGGCCAATGTCCCGACTAGGTTGCTGAAGAGCAGGGTGGGGCCAGCGTCTCTGAGAGTGCCCCTGACACTGATACTTCCTCAGCAGGGGAAGGGTGTTCTGTGTGGCCCCAGGGTCTGGGAGCAGGGCTCAGTCTTGGGGTCTTTGGGGCTCACTCACAAGGTCCTCCCTGCCCCTCGTCATGGTCATAGGACATCTGCCTCAAACTGGCCTTCATGAAGAGCGTGGTGCAGGTCACCGATGCCATCAAGAACATCAAGGACCTGGAGGACTTCCAATTTGCCCAAAAGGTGACCCTGACTGGCATTATCATGGTAAGCTGTCTGGGGGAGTCCCTCCATCCTGGGCAGTTTGGGGGTCTCACTCTGCTGACCAGAGGCCATCTGAGGCTCAAGGGGCGGCAAGGGCCTCCGAGTCCCCGCCAGTCTCAGTGCTGCTTTGAGCTGACTGTTGGTGTTCTGCGTGTGACTTTCTTATATCGGATAAAGGTTTTCATGGCCAGGAAACATTCCAGAAGCCGGGGCTGAAGACCCCGCCCCCGAGCCCGGTGATGCCCCGAAGTTGTCTGGTTCAGGGCTGGGAGACAGAGCCCCATGGTCAGCCCCTGGCTAGTCCCAGCGTTTCTCCCTAGTCAGGACCAGGAGGTCGGGCTCTGCCATGGACAGGACTTAGAGCTACTTTTGCCCAGAACTTTGTTAAGATCTAGAAAGTACCAGCTGTGCAAAGGCAAGAGGCAGCAGCAGGGCCCCCTGAGGTTGTGGGTCAGCCCGTCCCTCGTCCCCAGACCTCTCCACTCACCTGCGATGGAAACCCTGGCCCCTGGACACCCTCTGGCTGCACTGGCAGCACCCTGGAGGGAAGCGAGATGCGGACGGTCAGGAGGCCCTGAGAAAGAAGCAGACATTCACTAGGCTCCCGCTCGGGGTCGGGCCACACGCATGTAATTTCACAGCAGCCTGGAGGGAAGGGAGATGCGGATAGTCAGGAGGTCCTGAGAAAGGAGCAGACATTGACTAGGCTCCCGCTCGGGGTCGGGCCACATGCATGTAATTTCATAGGAGCCTGGCACAGCCCTGTGAGCCAGGCCCCGAGTCCTCATTTGACACCTGAACAAGGGCTCAGGCTGAGGAAGCGATTTGCCCAAGGACACACAGCCAGTAAGTGGCAGAGATGAGCAAATGCACCTGCCCATCTTAGCCCCACTCCTCCCATGAGATTTGCTGCTTCCCCTGGGCTTCCGTCGTGGCTCAGCTGGTAATGAATACGCTTGCAATGGAGGAGACCTGAGCTCGATCCCTGGGTTGGGAAGATCCCCTGGTGAAGGGAAAGGCTACCCACTCCAGTATTCTAGCCTGGATAGTTCCATGGACTCTATAGTCTATGGAGTCACAAAGAGTTGGACATGACTGAGCAGCTTCATCTAAAACGTCAAAGGCCAACTGACCATGAAAAGAATGAAAGCGCCTGTTGTATTGGATCCCGTAGGACATTGTCAGGTCCTCCTGCCTGTAACGCAGGGCGTGCCCCTGCCATCAGCCCCCCAAGCCCCTGCCCTGGCAGTGGCATGACTCCGGGTGGCTGGCAACTCACTGCCCTGCTGTCCCGGCAGGCAAACATCAAGGCAGAACCGACTGACAGCCTGGTTTCTCCCCCCTGCGGACCATGGCCATGGATGCCCTGTCAGACTTGAGGTGAGCCGGGCCCCTGGCCAGGCCCCCAGCGCCGCCCTGGGCTGCAGACAAAGTCTGAGACCACCTCTCGGTGCCTTTGGGGGAAGGTCGCACCTCCTTTGGGGCTTTCCTGAAGTCTCGGACGGTAAAGAATTTGCTCGCAGTGTAGAAGACACACGATCTATCCCTTGGTCTGGAAGACCCCCTGGAGATGGGAATGGCAATGCACTCCAGATTCTTGCCTGCAGAACCCCATGGGCGGGCTATAGTCCATGGGGTCAAAAAGAGTCAGATTCGAACACTTTCACTTTAGACAGCATTACTGGATTTGGGTAGGAGTGGGAAGGCCCGGAAAGGTGAAATATAGGACCCCTTTGGAGGGCAGGAGTTCAGAGTTTAAGTGGAGGGTGGCTCTCCCTTCTGAAGGCAAAATAGAGCCAATGAGGAACTTGTAACCTTTCTGCAACCCTGCCCCACCAAAGACTTCAATAAGGATCCCTGGACCTGGGCATGGCCCCTGGGGCCCTCAGAAAGCTCTCCTGTGACTCTAATATGCAACTAGCCTTGAGATCCACCTATGAAGGGAACAGAAAGAGATTCAGCTGGTGTGCATCATGCAGTTAGCTACTACCACAAAAGGTTTATTAAAACACAGATGACCTCCATTCCAGAACTTTTTTGTTTTTTTCTAAGAATTTTTTTTACGTGGACCATTTTTTAAAAAGTCTTTATTGAAGTTGTGTTACAGTATTGCTTCAGTTTCATGTTTTGGCTTTTTGGCCACGAGATGTCTGGGATCGACTCTGCCCCTCTGGCCCAGTACGGCAAAGCCTTAACCACTGGACCGCCGGGGAGTCCTCCACTCCAGACTTTGTGATTCAGCAGCTCTGAGGTCGAGACACAGAATTTGCATTTTCTAATAAACTCCAAGGGGATGCTGCTGCTGCTCCTGGGCCAGGTATTACAGTTGAAAAGTCCTGGGCCAGAACCACCCAGAAGCAGAGTCTGTGGTTGCAGTCAGGGAGGACCAGTGGAATGTTTCTGAACAGGAGAGAGAGAGACTCAGAGCAGACAGTGATAGGAGAGGTGGCTGTGGACGCCTGCGTCTCCCCTTCCGTCACAGACAGACAGTGGACTGGAGCCCTGGTGGGTGGAGCCGGGGCCCTTGGGAAGGGACAGATGCCTGAAGCCCCAAACAGAGAAGCTGGCCCCTCCTTCATTCTGTGACATGCCTCCTCCCACCACCTCCCAGACTGGGCAGAGGAGGGTCTCAGCTCCCCACTGATCCCTCCTCTTATCACTTCTTTCTCTAGCAAACTGAAGCCTTTCTACTCCACAGAGGCAAGCAGTGAGCTGATGGATATTAGTGTACACTCTGTAATTTCTCTCCAGCCACCAGGAGAGAGCAATGAGTTCATTAAGGTAGTCCATCTGCGCCACCTCATTTTCTGGGTGAGGACTTGGAAGTTGACGTTCACATGGGCAGTGCTGGGAGCCCACCGTCCTGGACCACCTGGGAGTGGTCAGGGCAGCAAAGTACAGCAGGCTCTTTCAGTAAGTGTAAGGTGATGGGAGCTGCTGCAACACATACGCGCTGAAATCTTCATGGTTTAACAAGATGACCGTCTTTCTCACTCGAAGTCCAGCTGGCAGCAGAGGTGGAGAGGGGGCTGCTTCCTGCGGTTGATCAGGGCCGTGGGCTGACAGGTGAGGACTCGCTCAGATCTCATTCCTTGCCATGGACTCCGCTGGGGACGACACTGCAGGTGGGGCTGAGGTGAGAGGAATGAGGAAGCTGGTGACTGGAGGGGAGTTGCCCCCCAGCTCCAACCAAGCAGGTTCTTGAGGGAAAAACAAGACAGGGAAAAACACTGCAGCCCTCGGGTCTGGACCAGCCAGCCGTCTCCCCTCCCAGGGCGCTTTAGGCAGCCTCAGGCCTACCTGGCTTCACGCGGGCTGTCCCCCGAGTCCCCTCCTTTTCTGAACGGGCCTGCCTCTGGGAACCAACCTTCTCCAGGGAGGGGCTGTCGAAGCTCTCGATCTGATGTTCAGCTCTTTGCTCAGACAGACTCCAGCGGGAACCCCGAGGCATCTTGAGGGAGTTTCTCAGAAACTGGGCGTGGGGGAAGAAGGCACAGGTGGGCAGTGCTCCAGAGGGCTGTGCTCCTCGAGCCGTGACTCTCCCTCTCCAGCGGCTACCCTGGTCTCTAGAGGGCTTTGCCCTTTCAGCCCCGACCCAGCCCTAGTGCTGTGCAGGCTTGGGGGCTGCCGGGAAGGGGTCACCCTGTGCTGCCTCCGGGGCTTTGGCTTCCAGGGTGGGGTCTCATGCTGTAGCTGCTTGTGCTCCCCAAGTCTTGTGACAGGAGGGGAACGTGTCCCCTAGGGTCTCCAGAACTCCCCACACGCCAAACCCACCAAGCTGCCCCAACCAGCCCCCAGCCCGGCCTCAGGCGGCGGGATCACCTCTACCTGAATCAGCCTGTCCTCCCACGGCTTCTGGTTCCAGGTAAACTCGGTGAGTTCTGCAGAGAGAAGGGCCACCCCTGCTCGTCTCTCCTGCGGATCGTCCCCGCCGCCTCCTAAATGCAGCATCTGGGGTCCTCCGTGGATGGGCTCCCCACAGCCTCACTTCCCTCCCCACCCTCCCAAGGAGCAGAGTAGGCTGTGCCGGCCACCTGGAGCCCGGGCGCCTTTGCTCAGGCCACGTTATAGGCACTCGGCATGTACAGTGATGTGAGGTGGCTCACACACCCCGGGCTCCTTTGCTCAGACGAGGTGGTGAGTACCCGGCATGTACACCAGGGCTGTGTGGGGGGATCACACATGCACTCGGGCTCCTTTGCTCAGCCACACGTCTCGCACCCGGCGGGTACACTTAGGGGGTGGCTCACACATGCACCCGGGGCATCTCACCTTCCAGGTACTTGACCAGCAGCGGGATCCTCAGCTCCTACATGTCGGCCGTGGAGGTGGTGATGCTCTGGCTCAGGGTCTTCAGAAGGTTGAGCATGGCAATTCCGCGGCCCTCCCCCTTGTAGGGGGCGACATCAGTACCTGGGGAACATCGAGACTCCAGTGGGGCCCCTTTCTGGCTGGGCAGTCCCAGGCCCTGCAAGCCCCAACTTGGGACCTCGCTGTCTGAGCCCATAAAGGGAGAGTTGGACGGGATGGGGCCTTTCAAGCAGAGCTCCGAGGATTCCCAGGATCAGAGCATCCCTGCAGAGGATGCTGAAGGCAGGAAAGGAGACACGAGAGCATGGACTCCCTCCCCACCCCGGGTCCCATGGAGCTCGGAGCAGGGTCAACACATGGAGGAGGATGCATGGTGCAGGGCGGAGCTGACCCCCAGGGAAGGGCAGCCTGCTCACAGAGTCCTACGGATGCTTGGGGCCATTCAAAGGCCCAGCAGAGAAATCTGGGAGCCTGCTGCCCTTGCCATATCTCCCCAGAGGGACGATGGGGGCCTGGAAAGCTCTGTCCTGCCAAGCATCCAGCTCTCTGCTCCCCCTGGAGGCCCTGGGGATTAGGAGCTAATGGGAGGGGCTCTGCAGGACACAGTGGGGCCAGGCCAGTGCACGACTCGTGAGCCACTCACCAGGAGTTGGGCCAGCAGAATATGCAGCACGGGTAGATCCACTGGGGAAAGAAAGATGCAGGACACTGAGGCTGCTCCGCTCCTGTACACCGGGGTGCTTCCCCTGCAAGGTGTTGCCCCAACAGCATCCCAGAGCCCCCCAGAATTCAGGAGGGGTCAGGACGAGGTATTTTCCTCAAAGGACATCACGACAACTGGCCATCCCGGGGAGGAGGAGCCTGGTGATCTGGGCTGGGGCTGAGAAGATGCTCTTTTTTTTTTTTTTTTCCCCAATATATTTATTTATTTATTTTAATTGGCGGCTAATTACTTCCCAATATTGTGGTGGTTTTTGCCATACATTGACAGGAATCAGCCATGGGTGGACATGTGTTCCCCATCCTGAACGCCCCTCTCACCTCCCTCCCCATCCCACCCCTCAGGGCCATCCCAGTGCACCAGGCCTGAGTGCCTGCCCTGTTTCATGCAGCGAACCTGGACTGGTGATCTATTCCACATGTGCTAATGTACATGTTTCAGAGCTATTCTCTCAGATCATCCCACCCTTGCCTTCTCCCACCAAGTCCAAACGTCTGTTATTTACATCTGTGTCTTTTGCTGTCTCGCATATAGGGTCATTGTTACCATCTTTCTAACTTCCATACATATGTGTTAATATGCTATGCTCTTTTCAGGACGTGCCCACTTGGGAGTGCACACCTGGCCGGCCTGAGAGTGTTTCTCTTCTCCTGTGAGTCTTGGCCTCCTCTAGCCAACAGTAACTAGACACCTCCCCATCCCCTCCCCTCCCTCTGCAGGCTTTGGGAGCCTGTGAACCCACGAGTAGGGATCTCACAGCATTTGGACCAGCAGGCTAGGGAAGGGCAGGCCTGCTGGAAGCTGCAGGGAGGGGTGGCACCCAGGAAGGAGGCAACCAGACTCGTGGTCCGGGTAGGAGGCAGACCAGGGGTGGTCTAGCCGGATGCTCAGAGCAGGCTCTGCCCCTACCATCGCTGGGTCCTGTAGGCTTGTAGTCACCTTCTGTCACTGGCCACATCCATCCTCAAAGCCCCAGGACCATGGCAGCAGCCCCCTGGGACTGCAGGGTCCCCGTAAGTAGGACAGTCTAGTCCCTTTCTTGAGGGTCTGGTGCTAACAAGTGGGTCATCACGGTGAGTCAGAGGGCCTGGTGGGGGTGGTTCCAGAGGCCTCAGATAGGATATACAGTCCTTCCAGTGGGCTCACGGGGGCCAGAGAGCTCACACGTGTGGGAAGCCTGAGCCAGGACCCCTGCCCTGGGGTCTGGGCCAGGGTGGGTGGGAAGTGGGGATGAGAGGAGTGGGCTGCCAGAGGAAGCCTGCACAACTTTAACCTCCTCGGCTTTCGGCAAGGGCGGCCTCTTTGGGAAGGCCTGGCTCACTGGGCTCCAGGCTGCTTCCTGGAGAAGGGGGAACGGTCCGAGGCACGGGGCGGCCCACCTGCCCAGTCCCTCCAGCTGGCGCAGGGGGTTACCCACCGTGCCTGTTCTTGCTTGTGCTGGCCTGCTCGTCCTTGGCGTGCAGCTGGCGCTCAGCCAGGTTGGTGAGGCTGCCGCAGATGGGGGTCAAGGCCTCCGTGTAGTCCGTCTCCATGATATAGCACGGGAGCCTCACCCAAAATTCCTGTGGGGGGCGATGGGGGTGAGGTGGGGGTGCTGGGGTCAGCCAGCCTGGGCATCGCACAGTCCTGCGATGAGATCGTCAGTCCCTCCCCACCCCGACAGCCTTGTCTCAGCCTCGCTTCTCCAGAACCACACTCTGACCCACTGACTGACCGCCTCAGGCCCGCTGGCTCCACTGCCCAGCCTGGGTCTCGGACAAGGCCGTCTAGGCTGCACCCACCCCGTGGCCGAGGGGGTCAGCTAGTCCTGGGCCCTTGACCTCTGTGCCCCCTGCCTCACTCCAACCCCGCAGCCAGCACATCCTCTTTGACCAGCCCTCCCTCCAACCCCCAATCCCCTAGAGAGGCACACTGGTCAGATAACCTAGCCATGCTTGCCAACTGTGATGATTAGTTTCTGTGTGTCAACTTGGCAAGTGAATGCACACAGTTATTCAATCAAACACTAATCTAGGCATGGCAGTGAAGCTATTTTGATCTGATGAAAGTCCATAATCCATATAAGAGGTTACTCTGGAAAATGTGACTGGACTTGGTCAAATCAGTTGAGGGCAAAAAACAGGTTTCCCTGAGGAAGGAGAGAGTTTGCCTCAAGGTTGCAGCCTCAGCTACTGCCTGAGTTTTCAGCCTGCCAGCCTACCTCCTAAATTTCAGACTTGCCAGCTCACAATTGCACAATACATATGTTGTTGTTCAGTTGCTCAGTCATGTCCGACTCTTTGCGATCCCATGGATTGCAGCACGCCAGGCCTTCCTGTCCTTCACCATCTCCCGGAGTTTGGTCAAACTCATGTCTATAGAGTCGGTGATGCCATCCAATCATCTCATCCTCTGTTGTTCCCTTCTCCTCCTGCCTTCAATCTTTCCCAGCACCAGGGTCTTTTCCAATGAGTCAGCTCTTCCCATCAGGTGGCCACACTATTGGAGCTTCAGCTTCAGCATCAGTCCTTCCGATGATTATTCAGAGCTGATTTCCTTTTGTATTGACTGGTTTGAGCTTCTTGCTGTCCAAGGCACTCTCAAGAGTCTTCTCCAACACCACAATTCTAAAGCATCAGTTCTTTGGCCCTCAGACTTGTTTATGCTCCAACTATCTCATCTGTACATGACTCCTGGAAAAACCATAGCTTTCACTATACAGATTTTGTCTGCAAAGTTATGTCTCAGCTTTTTAATAGGCTGTCTAGGTCTGTAATAG